TGTGAAAATGGTCATACTACCAAAATTGTTGTACAGATTCAATGCAATTCCCATTAAACTACCATTAGCATACCTCACAAATCTAGAGAAAACATTCCTTAAATTCATCTGAAACCAGAAGAGACCCAGAATAGCAAAACCAGTCCTGCACAACAAAGACAAATCAGGTGGAATCACAATCCCTGACCTGAAATTATATGACTAAGCTACTGTCATAAAATCAACATGGTACTGGCTAAAAAACAGATCAGAGGACCAATGGAACAGACTGGAAGAAACACACACAACCACAAACACGCTCAACCACCTAGTCTTTGATAAAGGGGTCAAACAAACTCACTGAAAGAGAGATAGCCTCTTTAATAAATGTTGCTGGAAAAATTGGCTTGCCATCTGCCAAAGACTGAAAATAGACCCAAGTCTATCACTATGCACCAAACTAAAGACAAATGGATCACAGATCTCAATATTAAAACAGAAACACTAAATCTATTGGAAGAGAAATTATGCAAAAACCTTGAAGGCATAGGGGTAGGCATATCTCTCATAGAGAGTTCATGAACAAAAACCAAACTGCACGTGAAGCACTTCAAAGAATCAACAACTGGGATCTCATCCTACTGAAAAGTTTCTGCACATCTAAAGCAATCACCAGCAGAGTAAAAAGAAAACTTGCAAATTGGGAAAAAATTTTACCTGACTGTCCCTTAGACAAAGGGCTTCTATGTAGAACATATAAAGAATTAGAAAACATCAGCTCCCCATATTCAAAGACCCAATCCACAAGTGGGCAGCTGAGATGAACACACACTTCTCAGTTAGAGAAATACAGATGGCAAATAAATACATGAGGAAATGTTCAACATCATTAGTCATTTGAGAAATGCAAATTAAAACAACATTGAGCTTTCATTTCACCCCAGCAAGAATGGCTATCATTAAGAAATCAACCTACTGGGGAGATAGCTCAGTGGCATAAATGCCTGCCTGGCAAGCGCAAGGTCCTGAGTTCAATTCCTGGTACCAAAAAACAAACAAACAAACAACAACAACAACAAAAAAAAAAAAAACCAAAAAAACCAAAGAAATCAACCAATAACAAATGCTGGCAAGGCTGTGGAGAGATAGGAAGTCTTCTCCACTGCTGGTCGGAATGCAACCACTGTTGAAATCAGTGTGGAGATTCCTCAGCAAACTAGGTATAGAGGTCCCATTCAACACAGTTATACACCTTTTGGGGATTTTCCCAGAAGATCTGAAAACATCATATCCCAGTGATATATGTGCACCCTTGTTCATAGCAGCACAATTTGTAATTGGTAAGTTGTGGAAGCAACCCAAATGTCCATCCATTGAGGGATGGATAAAAAAAAAATTGTGGTACTTTTATATAATGGAATATTACTCAGGTATAAAGAAAGATAAACTCAAGGCTTTTACAGTAAATGGTCACAACTAGAGACTCATAATTGAAATAAACCAGACCTTCATGTGTAAGCAAAGTATTGTCTTACTAGTATGAGAACCTGAAAAAATAAATAAAAATTAGGAGGTATGATGGACATTGTGAAATGAAAGGAAAATGCTCAAAAGTAAACAGCAACTGGGGTGAGGGAAAAGAGAAAAGAAAGAAGGGGAAATTCTGTATGTATGTATATACAGAATAGCTAACATAGTTGTACTACTGACCTCTATCACTTTATTGAAAGAATAGTTAATGATTACTTATTTGATCAATCTTGCATGCCTCTCTTGGCTTTCCTGAGAAACCACTTTGAAGATATCAATATGTAATACAACAACCATTATTAATTTCCTACCACTTTGTCTGTAATTCTGTATTGTTTGTATTGTTCTTATGCTATTTTGTAAATGGATGTTTGTTTGTTAAAAAAAAAGAGCAATGGTAGTCCTAGATTACATTAGTGTCTTTCAGATTTATGTTATAATTGGTTGCTTTGCACATAATTTTAATTTTCCAATTCACAGTTCACAGAGTTTAGTTTTTAGAACTGGAAGACAGTAAGATGCCATGCTTTATGTGTTGCCTTGGTTTTCTGTTCAGTATACTTACCAACTAATTCATTGTATGAATGACTTATTGGTGCGTTGTTTAAATAATTATTCCCATGAGGCTATTACCCTCTGAAAAGAAACCTTACCATCCGTAGAAAGTGCTCCCCATCCTGTAACTACAACGCTGTCATTTTCTGAGAGTTTCATTTTCTCTTCAGGAAGACAAATCCTATGAACATACTTTGTAAAAGAAACTTCCTTATCCAGCTGCACAAGGGCGATGTCATTTTGAAATGATGAACTGCTATAATTTTCATGAAGAATGATATTTTGGACTTTTCTTGTCATATACGGTTCATTCACTGAAGTTCCAAAGTTGACAGTCCAGTATTTTGAATGAGTTCTCCTAGAGGATACAATTTAATGTAAAGACATTCAGGCAGCACTGTAAGCATGTAAATTCTTGGGTGTAAAAATTTCTCTGACATGGAGATGTTGTAAATGTTGCAGCACACCTAACAGTGCTAAACTTGCTAGCTCTCTGTAGATGATCCGAAAGAGGGTTACTGTTTCTCTGGACTAAGTCAGCTACATCCAGGTTCTTAGCATGTGACCTGGGCAGGAATTGTATGAGCATCCTCAGCTCCATAAGTGGATGGGGTCCAAATTAGTCTCACTGCTCTACACTCTGGGTTCAGAGAGCCTGTGGCAGGCACTGATGCCTATGAACATAAAAATACTGCAGCCCTTCCCCAGCCAATCACTGCATTATGTTTATGTTCTTATGTTTAGCCAATGCATCCTTTTTTCTAATTTAGATTCCCCGACCAACGTTTCAAGTTTCTCACTGAGACTCTTTCTTGGTTTAAGACGTAACGTCCTATTTGACTATTCTCACTGGTCCCATAGACAGTCTGGTACCTCTTTTTTTTTAAGTTTCAATATCTTCATGTTGTGGCTCCCATTTTCAAAATGTCAGTGACTCCACACACTCAAAACAGTGTCTTTTAAGCTCATTCCTTTAAAATCAATTGAGGATCTACCTCCAGAAATTTGTATTTGAAAAAACTAGTGAATAGTTGTTTAAGAATCTTAAATTCTAAGGTGGCTTATGGTGGCAAGTGATTTTGAAAATCATTTCAGTATGACAAATTTTATGAATTTACTTTGTAAAATATACCTAAGTTTTTTGCCATTTAGAGTTGCTCACCACTGATGTGCTTAAGTTGTCTAAATATGTTTTCTAATGTTCTCTTAATCTTCTGTACAGTAAGGTGTTCTTCATTACCAGAGGAGTACAACTCATGTTGTCCCACCTCCACACCATAAAGGAGGCTTTTCCCCAACCATAAATGCATGCTATTCTTTCACATCCACCATCCTATCAATCAAATATATCTTTCAGATCCAAGTCAAATCCTACATCTTCATACTACACCTTGCCATCTTTCTTCAAATATCTATAGGATTTACCAGGGGCCAGGGATATAGCTCAGCAGCAAAGTGTCTGTCTGGATTTACTATCAGTCCTGTATTTGATATTTACCACACTATACTGTTTTGTACTTTTAATATATGACATTTATGTTTTTAGACTAGATTACAAATCCTTAGATTGGAAGACAAAGAAGCACCTGGTAACTGAAATCAAATGTACCTGAATTTACATTTCAGTTCTGTTACTTAAGAGCTATCTATCAGCCAAGTAAAGAGCATCACATTTTCTAAGTCTTACTTTCCTCATTTTCAGGTTGATTCAATTAAGTGTTGCCCTTCCCCGATGTGGGCAAGCAGGTCTGCACTGGACTCAGGGCCTCCCTCGTCCAGACCCACAATGCCCTTCTCCTGACACAGACAAGTAGGACCAAGCAGGATGCTCCGCCACCACTGCCGTAATGCAAGGACGAGATCATGTGTCAACTCCAGGCTGGCTCTACATTTTGCTTCCTCTTAGCATGGAGCAGCAAATGTGAGGAGTATTCAAACAACCTGATCCTGGGTGAGGACAACTCTTGGGAAGAGAAAGGAGCAACCAAACCCAGTGATGGTTGACATGAGGCCAACAGTCCACTGGAGCCTTTGCCTCCATGGTCTGCATCCCTCAGGGCCCAGAGGACTGATGGCCTCTCCCATCTACCAATGGGAGTAGGACACTCCTTGGCTTGGGTGGCAACCACAGTCTAGGGTGATCAGAGGCCTCCAGTGCAGGGTAGGGGGCATCTCAAAAACTGCAGGCCCTAAAGCTAGCAGAAAAAATTGTGACTGGATTCCAAGACTGCAGATCTTTGAAAGAAATCACTCATTCAAAAACACAGGAATTTTTTCTTTGACTCACACCTTTTTTCTATTTTTTTATAATTTTTCTCTTTCCTTCATCAGTTTTTTGGGAATTGAGGGTTTTTTTCCTTTCTTTTTTTCCTTTCTTTTTTTTCCTTTCTTTTTTCAATTTCTTTTTGCTCTTCCTCTTTCAATTTTTTCTTCTTCCTTTCAACTTCTTTTAGTTTCATGAATTTTGCTCTCTTTTTTCTTCTTTTTCTTGTTTGTTTATTCCTATGACTGATCTCTAGCACTATTTGCTTTTACTTCTCAGTAAGACCCCCATCTCACTTTTATCTCCATTTTTTATATAACATTGATTAATTTCTCAAATTTTGCTTTATATCATTCTCTAGTTCCCCATTCATCTGGCTTTACTAGTGTAACTGCTAAGCTTTAAGAACCCCTACATAGCTAGTTAGCATTATCCAATTCATGTAGAATACTGTTGTAGGGTTAATAGAGGTAAAATTGTTTTGTTTAGTAGATGTTTACTTTAGGTCAACAGTAGGCCAATATTTGGTTTACTTTAGTGTTTATACATACTACAACTCATAATATAATTATAAATCTCTTTTCCTTGGGAAAGTGTGGTCCTTAGGGTTTATTAAAAGTCAGTTTGTATTTGGAGTTATTTTCGGTGATGACTTTATTTACTATAGCCAAGGTGACAGAAGTATTGTTATTAGTTGGTTCTCTTGGGATGCCAATATCTGGTTGCCTTGAAAGTCATTAACAATGTTGTGGTCCATTCTTGAGTACTGCGTCTAATACGCTGCAGCTTCCATCCCAAATAAACAGAGGTGGCTGAATCCTAAATCACAGGTGAAGGCCAATGGTTAGTAATTTCCAGAGGACACTTGATTAGTACATGGTAACTACAAATTTCTCCACGATAGGGACAACTTTCCACTGCAATTATCTGCCAAGCCTCAACACAAAAATAAACAAAAAACAGAAGCATGAGAAAGCAAGTCCACAAAATACCTTCAAAGTCTCCCAGATCCCTAAACCTGATCAAAGGGATATCAAAGAGGAGGGAACCACAAGACCAACACCCACGTTATTAGGAATGAGATCAGAGGAGATAACAGGACAGATCAACAAGGCATTTGACAGCTCACAGACGATACAAGTTATAAGATATTGGGCCAAGTAAATAAAATCATCAGTGAGTCTAGAAAAGACATGAATAAAAAATAAAATAAAAGAGTTAAACAACAGCATGCAAGACATGCAAGACCAGCATAGTAAAGAATAAGAGCTCACAAAATGTCTCCAAACAGAAATTCAGGAGATTAAAATTCTATCAAAAGTATGGAAGGCAGAGAGAATCAGTGTCAGAATAAGACAGGGCTGTTTTTTTGGTAACCAATTAATGAGATACCTTCAACACAATAAGAGACCATAAAAAATGGATCAAATCATTCCTAGCTGATGAAAAGAACACTAATCTAAGATTAACTGGAATAGTAATTAGTTAAAAATTAGAAGACAGCACAAATGGCATAAAAAATCCTGTTTACTGAGATAATAGCAGAAAACATTCCAAGTAAGGGTAAAGGACTTAATGTACAAATAAATGAAACATACAAAATCCCAAATAGCCATGTTCAGGAAGGAACTTCTCTGCCATAGGTCATAGTCAAAATCCCAGAACTCCACCATAAGAACAGAATCACAAAAGCAGTATGAAATAAGCAATAAATCACTTGTACAGTTAAGCCCATTAGAATTGTAGCAGACTTTTAATACAAACCAAAGGCCATGAGAGCTTGAGTGGAAGTGTTTCAAGCCCACAAGGAAATAATTTTCAATCCAGACTGATATATCCTGCAATACTATCTTTCAAATTTTATGGAGAAATCAAATACTTTCATGGTAAAGAGCACCTAAAGAAATTCATGACCACAAAACTAGTACTCCAAAAAATTCTGAAGGATATTCTAGAGAGAATGAAGCTAACAACAATAAAAGGTCTAATGTCATGAATACATCACATAAAGTGAACAGTTAAAATAAATGGAAAAGAAACAAAATTCAACAGTGTTCTGTATATATAAAACACATTTAACCCCAAAAGAAACGAATAGACTAAGAATCAAAGGATGGTAAACAATATTCCATGCAATGGGAACCAGAAACAAGCAGGAGTAGCTATTCTATATTCAGACAAAGTAGATATCAAGTCAAACTGATTAAAAGAGGCAAAAAAGATCACTACATACTGGTGAAGGGAACACTCCAAAGGAAGAGATAACAATTATTAACATATAGGTGCAAAAATAGTGCATTCAACTTTATAAAACAAGTAAAAGATATGTTGAACATAAAAGATCAGATAAACACAATTATAGTGGGGGACATCAGTACCCCACTATAACAAATAGACAGTGGTGGTGCCTCCCTGACCAGCGTGCAAGGCAGGCAGAACCCTGGGCACATCCTCTGGGGCCTTGATGGCTACTGGCCACACCCATAGTGTGTCAGGGGGTTGCTGGGCTGAACACCAGACACCTTTAGGAACCCTGGTGAGCCATTCTGGTGCCACCCTCACTAGTGTGTAAGACACATGAAGCCCTGGGCAACTTCTGGAGCCTTGGTGGTCACTGCCAGAACAACTC